AAAAAGAAAGAAAGAAAGCGGTCTTTCATCCATTTTGAATTTATTTTTGTGTGTGGTGTAAGAAAGTGGTCCAGTTTCATTCTCCTGCATGTACTGTCCAGTTTTCCCAGCACCATTTCTTGAAAAGACTGTTTTTTCCATTGGATATTCTTTCCTGCTTTGTCAAAGATGAGTTGACCATAGAGTTGAGGGTCCATTTCTGGGCTCTCTATTCTGTTCCATTGATCTGTGTGTCTGTTTTTGTGCCAGTACCATACTGTCTTGATGAGTACAGCTTTGTAATACAGTTTGAAGTCCGAAATTGTGATGCTTCTAGCTTTGGTTTTCTTTTTCAACGTTACTTTGGCTATTCGGGGTCTTTTCTCATTCCATACAAATTTTAGGATTGTTTGCTCCAGCTCTGTGAAAAATGTTAATGGTATTTTGATGAACATGGATGCAAAAATTCTCACCAAGATACTAGCTAATAGGATCCAACAGTACACTAAAAGGATTATTCACCACCACCAAGTGAGATTTATTCCTGGGCTGCAAGGGTGGTTCCACATCTGCAAATCAGGCAATGTGATACATCCACATTAATAAAAGCCCTAACTATTAAAAGGAGCATGCTAACACATGCTCTGCTTTTTATTTAGTGCTTTACTTTTTCATAATCTTTACAAGCCTTACAAGCAAGGGATAACAGGGTAAAGATATAAGTAGGTACACGTGTGGTTCATATATTTATAAGATAAAACTGAAGAGAATTCGATTTTGTCATTTGAGAATTTTTTGGTTGAGAAAAGTTGAATAATGAGATTTATGAGTTACTAAGGTTTATTTAGATAATTTATGTATTTTTCAGTTTTTCATTGTTTGAGGCCAGGGTTTTAAAAAAGAGTATGAGGTATCTCTTGGTAATACCTTGCTTTAATTGGAATTTAGTGTCTAAAGTTTTTCTTTAACATTATAGTGTTAAAGATATGATAATCAAGATATTCTTTTTATTAACAGGTTCTGACCCATTTCATTATAAAAGGTTTTTTTTGGTGAGGGGGATATCTAGACATGCTCCAGCAATTGGAGGGCAAGACATTTTCTTCAAAATAAGCATGTCTGTGAAACTCCATATTACCTTCCTAAGGAATATTGGGGAAATTAAAGTATACACTTATCCTTTTATCTGGTAGCTTTTACCTAAAGTAACTAATAAACTATATCATAAAATTGAGGAGGAGGGGGTTGCTTTAAATCTGTTTAAATTTAGGGATGCCTGAGTGGCTCAGTTGGTTAAGCAGCTGCCTTTGGCTCAGGCCATGATCCCAGGATCCTGGGTTTGAGTCCCACATCGGGCTCCCTGCTGAGCAGGGAGCCTGCTTCTCCCTCTGCCTTCCACTCCTCTTGCTTGTGCTCTCTCTCTCTCTCTGACAAATAAATAAAATCTTTTTTAAAAATCTATTTAAATTTAAATAAATATTGGGGTGGTCCAATAATGTCCTTAATATCAAGTACAATATTGATTAGTGTCCTTATCTAGCAAAGTTTAGCACCCTTTACTTTCTAGGATATTTTGATTATGGAAATAATACACCACCAAACATAATGAAAATATCACAAAACCTATGCACTTTACTGTCTAGAGAAGGAACTACCCCCCTTTCTTCTTAGGTAGTAAATTTAATTTTATGCATTATATTTAGTAATCTGATTTCCCCTGGGAACTTGAGTTCTTCTCTGGGTTACAGTTAATTCAAATCAGGAAATAAGCTGTGGATAACAAATTAGAAATAGATATTGGTAAGAAATAAACCTTATAGTAGAGCTTTAAGAGGTAACAGCAAAGGACAAAGCAGCCATAGGAAAGAAGAAAAAACTATATAACCAGGAACCTGAAGAAATTAAGTGAATTGATAAGCTGAGTCCTATATCCTTGGATACCTTTTAGAAGTATAGAACTATTATATATAGCACATACAATAATTGGTAATAATTATCTTGAAACAACATAAAACTGAGTTATGTTCAGAATACTTTTTGGTAGCAGCGTTGGTGGTATAGTGGTGAGCATAGCTGCCTTCCAGAATACTTTTTGGTAGACTGTGAAGTACATTTTAGAGTTTCTTCAGAACTTGTTATAATCAAGTTTGAGTGGTTCCCAGTGATCTGAAAATTTTAGTTAAATCAGAAAGACTTATTTCCTAACCAAATAGCTACAGTTTCTAAAAAAATAAGTTCTTTTTTGATTGCATAGAAAAAGCTACATGATTCTTAACTACCTAGTTATTCACCTTCAAATGCAGTTCCTTCAAATTGTTAACCTTGGAGTGGTTTGGGTTCCTATCTAGTTAGGATAGGAAGAGGCCACATTCTTAAAAATCAGATTCTTTTAAGGAGGTCAAAAGCTAGTGTAGTTACTAACAGATGAGTTTTTGCACTTTGATTTTTAAAATAAAGTTTAGGGGCACCTGGGTGACTCAGTCGGTTAAGCGTCTCCCTTTGGCTCAGGTCATGATCCCAGGGTTCTGGGATTGAGCCCCACGTTGGGCTCCCTGCTCAGCGGGGATCGTGCTTCTCCCTCTCCCTTTGCCCCTCCTCCCATTTGTGTGTGCGTGCTCTCTCTCAATAAATGAGTAAATTAGAACTTTTACAAAATAAAGTTTAATCCAGCTGGTATCTTTCATATAAATAGATTTTAACACTTTATATTTAGCCTCCCTACCTCCCCCAGAAAGCTATATCTATATTCTTTGGAATCTATCACTTGCTTTTCTAGAAAAGCTGTATTTCAGTACAGCAGAACCTGCCTTCTACTTGGCTGATCATTTATTTACAGGTACTTTGCAACAGGCTGATAACTGGTTGAAGCTGATGAGCTTTTATTTCTTCAGTTTTTTTTTTTTTTAAGATTTTATTTATTCATTTGAGACACAGAGATAGAGAGAGAGAGAGAAAGCATGAGCAGGGAGAGAGGCAGAGGGAGAGGGGGAAGCAGGCTCCTCTCTGAGCCAGGAGCCCGATGTGGGGCTCGATCCCAGGACCCTGGGATCATGACCTGAGCTGAAGGCAGATGCTTAACCCACTGAGCCACCCAGGCGCCCCTATTTCTTCAGTTTATAAGTGGAGTAAAACATTACAGTTATATTAAAAGAGAAATAATGTTTTATTAAAGTAACTCTGCAGGGTTCTTCTTAGCACACTGAAGATAACTCCTAAACAAAATCACCACAGTGCGTCACGTGGTAGATGTTTAAGAAATAACTTGTTGAATGAATGAGCATTGAATTTCAAGTATTTTTGTTGTCCTAGGAACTTACAGGCAAAGTATCAGGTGCCCTGTATTCAAAAGATTCTTAACTGGAAAATGTTAACCATCATATACTAATTGTATTTATTTGTGTCCGGGACACAGGTGGCGATAAAAATAATAGATAAATCTCAGCTGGATGCAGTGAACCTTGAGAAAATCTACCGAGAAGTACAAATAATGAAAATGTTAGACCACCCTCACATCATCAAACTTTATCAGGTAGGATGTAACCTTATTCCTCTCCATGCTTCTCACATCCTGTTTTCTCTTTTGTATCATCTTTCTCTTTTATGTTAGTTTTTTTAGTCCATAAAAAAAGGAATAATTATATGGGTTTTATTAAACTGAGTACCCATTTTCTATATTTAAGTAAAAATTAGGAAATAAAAAACTAGTAGCTTAATTTTAAGTTATCTCTCACACTGTAAGTTATTTATTTAATTAAAAAGTTTGTAGTTGTGTATTTATGATACTCAAGCCTGTTGACTTTCAGTGGTGGTACCATAAATGAGGATATGGCAGTTTTGCTTAATTAAAAAAATACACTGTTAATGTTTTATGAAATACAAAGGTTAAAATAGTATATTACTTAGCGGCATACTTGGGAATACTTAGAGCCAAACCTTATATTTTGTTTGGGTTATTTTGTCAGATAAAAGAGTCATTTTTTAAAAAATTAACTTTACTGAGATATAATTTTTATAAAATAAATTGTACCCATTTCAAGTGTAAACTATATTTTTTAAAAGGAAGATATTCTCTGGGGTGCCTGGGTAGCTCAGTCGGTTAAGTGTCTGACTCTTGGTTTCAGCTCAGGTCTTGATCTTCGGGGTTGTGGGATCCAGCTCCATGGCCAGCTCAGTGCAGAGTCTGCTTGGGATTCTCTTGCCCTCTCCCTTTACCCCTCCCCCCACCCACACATGCACTCTCTCTCTCTCTAAAATAAATAAATAAACCCTAAAAAAAAAAGATCTCTCATCTTAAGGAGTGAGATGGTCTTATTCTGTGGGTCTCTAAGATATATGCTACATTTAAATGTGTTTAAAATAATTATCAGTTATTTTAACAGTTCCAAAGGATAGCAATTGCTGTCCTTTGGCATACACTTTTGTATTTTTTGTAGTTTTTTTTTGTAGAGTTCAAAAAAAAAATCTCTGATTTTTAAAGAGTAATTCATATTGAGGAATGATAATGTAATATGAAACTTTTTTAACACTTCTATTCATTAATATGTAGAATTTTTATATTAGAAAACTATTTTTTTAGAGGGGAGGAGGGTGAGAGAGAGAGAGAAGGCGGGGGGAGAGGGAGAGAGAGAATCTTAAGCAGGCTCCATGCCCAGCACCAATCATGACCTGAGCCAAAATCAAGAGTCCAGCACTGAGCCACCAAGCACCCCTATTGGAAAACTATTTTTAAACTAAAATGTTACAGTATGCTAGCCTATGACTTTAATCTCCATAGTGTGATGTGTACACCCAGTGGTATGCTGGACTCGGCCTGTACTGGCTTGTAAGAACTGATTGTTAAATTTTCAGATGTTTTGCAAACCAACTAATAACATGTTAGTAGCTCAAAATCAGCTATGGTGGGAGTATTTACACCATCGAAAGCTGTTTACAAGTTAGGGCCTTTTTTTTTTTTCCCCACAGAGGGCTATTACTAGCACACTGCTATGTGCACTCACATGGGTTAGCACAAGTGTCTCTTGGGCATAATAAGAAAATATTAGAACTTCTATGCTTATTTTTTATATCTACTTGTGTGCATTCTATAATGTATATAATGTGTTTGTACAGTGACATGAGTATGTAATTTGTGCTGCTTCTATTCACATAAACATACGCATGTTTATATACATGTACATGAATGTGTAATACACATTTGGCTAAACCACTTGTTACTGATAGAGATTTGCAATTAAAAAGGTGTGGAGACCATTGGAGACCATTAGTATTACCGTCAGAGTGAGAGACCACGGTGTGCCACTCAAAACAGTTCTAAAACTGCAGAAGGCTTCTTTGGTGATATTTGTATCAGAGTATTTCTCCTTTTAAGCTTTTTTTTCTTTTCCCTAAAGAGGATACTTATAAGAAACTATCCACATCCTTAGAAGTCTGATGAACCATAAACCAAACTAAGATTAAAACTACCAGGATTCACAGAATTCCATCTTTATTTGAGCTAAATAAGCAGTTAAATTGACTTACTATTTATCTTATTTAGACTCCAGTTGTACGTAGTTCTTAGTTTTCTGGCCTGATTGGGAATAGTCCTAAACCGACATGTTAGGGCAAAATCAATTTCCAGCCTTTTAGTAGATAACGGTTGAATTTTCATTGTTATCATGTGCCAGTACATAAAAGGATGGTGTTACAGAGAATCTAAAATTCACTCATTTTGTACTTATAAATTCATTTTCTTTTGGTTCAGTATAGGTTGAAATATCCCATTTGTGACACTGACGTGCTTCCTTTCCGAACCTAGAAAAACGAATAAAAATGTATAGCAGTGGAGTTATGAAGAAGCTTTTGAATAGTGATTTCAAAATAACAGTAGTTTGTAACAATATCACAGTACAGTAGGAGGAATATCCTATTGTGCCAGATGATCCAGGCTACAGGCCTGATAAACCGAGCTTTATTTTATTTATCTCTATTATTCTTAATCAAAGTCTACCTATAGCACAGGGCTAGAAAAGTCCGTGAGAAGGTGGTAGAAAGTTGATCTTCAAAATCCCTGTTACCTGTATTCGTATTCTTTTAACTTGAATGTACATAACAATCACATTTTTGTTAAAATAGAAATTCTATGTCAGTAGGTCCGGGGTGGGGCCTGAGAGTCTGCATTTCTAACATTTGCCCGCACAGTGCTGCTGCTGCTGCCGGTCCATGGACCACGCTTGGAAAAGCGAGCATCTAGAGTTCTCACAGATCATTAGCAGAAGGATATTGTCATTCTTGTAAACTTAGCTGCCTTCTGAATTATTCATAAATTTGATACTTTTATTAGTAGTTTTATTTAGTAACTCCATAGAATGTTGAGTTTCAGTAGAATAGAATTGCAATCCTTTCCTGTCAGACTAATACGGAATTTTTTATCAATAGGTAATGGAGACCAAAAATATGTTATACCTTGTGACAGAATATGCCAAAAATGGAGAAATTTTTGGTAAGTATTTCACTATTCTTTAAATTTGTTTTTAATTTGAAAATGTCACTAATCTTCATGAATGGAGTATTCCTATTGACTTTCCTGCTTGTTTAAGAGTTGGCAACTTGAACTAGAACTTTTTAAGCATGAGAATATAATAAAATATTCAGTGAAACAAAGATAAGGAATATAATTTATTCTCTTGTATTCATGATGTTTATGTATTAAAGCTATTGCTTAATTCCCTCATCTGTGTGAGAGAGATGGGAGAATTACAGACAGGAAAAAACTTGCAGTCATATTGCAAGGGGGATTTTCTTTCCTTTTATCTTCATTTTGTACCTTTCCTTCCAGGGGAAACATCAGTCGACAAATACTTACTGAGTTCCCAGGCTTTGCTGTAGGTTTAGAGGATGTAATGATGACCTGAATAACCTGTTCCCTGCTGCCGTTGTGGCTCATACAGTTTAGTAAGCTACTGACCGTAGCTGTGCGACCCCGGGCAAATCCCTGCAGCCCTCTGGGACCTAGTTCCTTTATCTCTAGTAAGGAAATATTTTGATTAATTGGTTTCTGTGATCCATTCTAACCCTTAAAAATATTACAAATATTTTGTTCTAGTTTTCATCTCTTTTATTTTTATTCTTGTAGAGCCAGAACACTAGGTAGTCTAACACTTTTTGGTTTTTAACCTGCACATTTAAATCCCAAATGGTTTTAAAACAGCCTTAGTGAGGAATTATCCATATACAGTAAAGTGCACATATTTAATGTGTACAACGTAATACATTTTCACACACACACACGCAGACACACATGAAACCATTACCACAGTCAAGATATCCATAATTTCCAGAAGTTCCTTTGTGCCCCTTTTTATCTCTCTTGCCCCACCTCAGGACCGAGCAACTACTGATCTGTTTTCTGTCACTGTAGATGAGTTTGTGTCTTGTGGAGTTTTATATAAATATGGTCATACAGTATATAATTATTTTATGATTTATCCATTTTGTTGTATCAACATACCATCTTTTTTCACTAAGTAGTTTTATTGTAAATAGCTTTCTATTATATGAATATACCTCAGTTTATCCATTCATGTGTTAATAGATAATTGGGATGGTTTCGGTTTTTGGCTATTACACATGAATTGCTCTGAACACTCACGTACAGGTCTTTAACTTACAGTCTACCTTCAAGTAATTGTTCACCACTTCACATATAGCATGAGTCTTAAAATAATATACCATTATTTTGCCCCTCCTGGCCTTTATGTTCTTGTCATACATTTTACTTATGCCTATTTAATAAAATACAAAATACAGTGTTGTTACTTTTGTTTAAAAAGTCAAAGAGAGTTCGAAATTTTTTAAAATCTTACATATTTATTAGTGGAATATCATTGCCGCATCCCTGTATGTAGATGCACATTGGATTTTCTTTGGCATTTCTTGTAAATCAGGTCTGTTGGTGATGAAATCTTTCAGCTTTTGTGTGTCTCAAATCTTTGTTTTTGAGAGATATTTGTACTGGGTATATAATTCTAATGTGGGTTTTTTTCTTTCAGTACTTTAAAGATGTTGCTCCACTGTATTCCCATTTGCATTATTTCTGACAAGAAACCTGCTGTCATCTTTTTCTTTATTCCTCTGTATGTAATTTGGCTCAATTCTGTGGCTGCTTTTATAGTTTTCTGTTTATTACTGGTTTCAACAACTTGGTTATGATATGCCTTTCTGTGGTTTTCTTCATGATTCTGTTCTTACTGGATCTGTGAATGTACAGCTTCCATCAAATCCAGAAAATTCTCAGCCATTATTTTCTTGACCAATTTTTCTGGCCCACCCCTCTCTCCTCTTCTTTAGAGACTCCAATTACACATATATTAGGCTGTTTGAAATTGTTCTGCAGCTCACTGATATTTTTTTCCATTTTAAAAAATTCCTTTGTCTCCCTGTATTTCATTTTGGATATTGCTATTTGTAGGTCTTCAAGTCCTAGCATCTTCTGCAATGTCCAGTTTGCCATTAATCTCATCCAGTGTACTTCTCAGTCTCAGACATTGCAGATTTCTGCTCTGTAAACTTGATTAAGGCTTTTTTTTTTTTCTTTTCTATATCTACTATGTCTTTAGTTAGGTTTTTAAACATCTGGAATACAGTTTTAATAACTTGTAATGTCCACATGTCCTAATACTGGTATAGCACTGTCAGTGCTGAATCAGTTTTGAACTGTTCATGTTTCTACCCAGTTTTGGTCAGATTTTCCTGCTTTTTTTTTTTTTTTTTAAGATTTTATTTATTTA